ACCAACAGTAAACTTAAAAATGGGTGCATAAAGATGTCATTCATTCTCTGGAAAATCTAGCAATTGTATTTCAAGGAGCGAGCTGGGTTGGGGCTGGGTGGAGGTTCACCAGCGAACCACTGCCACCACCGTTTTGAACTTGATATTAGTTTCAGCATTTGGATTGTCACTAGCTAAGAAACCAGTAGTAGCTTTCAGGTCTAAGCAAATTACTATGCCACTTTCAGGTATTGACAGGGACTGAAAGTAAATGAGCATCTTTTCTTCTGCTGATACAACTTCTACTTTTCCGATCATTGAAGATATTTCTTCAGAAAAATCAACGTTCTAAACCAGCTATTACTATCTTCAATCCAATGGCAGACAGCTCAGAATCTAGGAAAGTGTGAGATGGGTATTTGAAGTTCAATAGAGAAGCAGGTAGTTTCTATACGGAGATGGTTATCATTTGCACATTAACACCACATAGTGATGGAAAATGACGTGATTATTTCACCCAATGAGAAATTCTACCTAAGAGGCTTCATGCACTGCACAAATGCAAAATATTATCTGTCAATGTTCCAAATTCGTAGGAAAAAAGATAAATATATTTTTCAGAATTCAGATAAAAGAAAGAAAAACTTAAGTATAATCCAGCAACAATTCAAGGTTAAAATCCTGGTCAAGCGAATGAAGATAGCATGAATTGAAAATGAAAACATAGAACAATGTATATTTATCTAAGAAATGAAGATAAATTTCTTAGTTTTTTAACTTCAGACTTTTTCTCTTTTATATTCATACTATAGATAGATATCTCAATAAGCTTTTCTTACTAATACTTTCTTTCATCAATTGCATTGACAGATGTTAAGGAAAAAAAAAAAAAAAAAAAACTAGAATTCTAGTGGGGCAAGTTTGCATTGAACATTATAGGAACCATCATCTGTAATGTTACTTTCAAATAATGTTATTAATCAGTAAAGTAGATGCCAAATTGCAATGGGTAAGGAAATCTCAGCCGCCCACAGTACAAAAAGCCAAGACATATATAATATGATAACTCAGGTATCAGTGACATGAATAACAAACAAGATATTAAATGGTAGTCAACTACATGAGAATGAAAGCGCTGAAAGAGGCATGGTGCAATACTTTGTTAATTTGTATTATCATTCCTTCTCAAATTTGAAGCCTACCAGCTACAAATGCATGTAACACAAGGTCTAAACGCTACCTACCCTATTTTTAAATAGACAAACGTGCTTAAAATTTTTTCCAAAATCAACCTCCAGTAAAAATCAAACAGCGTAGTATTTTCCTTCTTACATTAAGATTTTCCTGGATATAAAATTGCAGCTCATATGGGAACATGATAACTATGGATCATGCACTGAAACACATAATGCAGAGGAATTATTTATTTCGTAGTGTCAACCACTAAGTTGACACCCAGCATGTTAAGAACATTTCAAAATTAGTAAATCTTAAGATATATACTTCCACCACCATGACAATTAAAGGAATAAAATATTCCAAAACTGCCCTTTTCATTTAATAGAAATGGGTACATATGTATTTATAAGAAAATGAAAAACTTTTGGGTGGAACCCTATGGATGTGAAATGCTCAAGAGAGCAACAATAAAGAACTGGAAAAGGTTAAAAATGGAGGCCTCAAACTCTAGTAAATGACAACTATAAAGAATCAAAGAGATTAGTGTTAGCAGAAGTAGGAAACGAGGGGATTTTCTTTGCTTTTTGTTTAAATTCTGAATTCAACTTAATGTAAGTTTTTTAGACCTTTTGTGGCCGTGATATTCAGATATTCTGATGAGAAATCATCCTCATTTCTCAATTCTCCACCCTATCAAAAGCTCTAAAATTCATCTTCCTTCACTAGCTCCATACTGAGCAGGGCAGTAGCATATCCAATGTTTTGTCCCTACCAGGCAAGCCCCTCCAACATAACATGAATCTAATCTCTCTAAGAGTTATGTAAATGTATGAGAAGATGATCTACTATTTCTCCATTTCTTTTGCACAAAGCTTAATAAAAGTTTTATCCTTAAAATGAAAGCACTATCATCCTGACAATTAAAAGACCTGGGGCAAGAACCCTTATCCTGGTAAGATGTTTGAAAATAGTCCCATAATTACTTCTTTTTGCTTGTAAAAGCCATATCTACTCTATGACCTATGTATAGGCAGAATAGTGGGAGTTGCTTGAAAAAGCCAACAGCTTTAAAGTCCTATTGCAATATGGTAGGAAAAAATTGTACTATGGGTTTCTAATTGTTCCATTTTCAATTACTGTACCCTCGGCTTGCTTTCTTAGATTTTCTACTTTGGAATTTAAGTCTTTGCTAGAATTCATAATTTTGTTCTTCAACTTGCTTTATTTGTTAATATATAGGACTTCATAAAGGCATCTGGGCAATGAGAGAACTTATTTGAAGTTTTTAATGTATATGTGGGAAGGATAATAGTGGGAATTTGCTTGAAAAAGTCAGTAGCTTTAAAGTCCTAACTGCAATAGGCTGGAAAAACTTTGTAATTTTCAGTTTCTGTACCCTTGGCTTGCTTGCTATGATTTTTGAACTTGGGATTTCAGTTTTTGCTAGAATTCATATTTTTGTTCTTCAGCTTTTATTATATGTATCGCTTCATAAAGGCATCTAGGCAATGAGAGAATTCATTGAAGTTTTTACTGAATATGTGGTAAGGATAAAAGTGGGAGTTGCTTGAAAAAGCCAGTGGCTAAAGTCCTACTGCAATATGGTAGGAAAAAATTTGTAACTAGGGTTTTTTAATTTCTCCATTTCATTTCTTTGACCCTCGGCTGGTTCTTAGATTTCTAGTTTGGAATTTAAGTTCTTGCTAGAATCATAATTTTTTCTTCAACTTGTTTATTTATTATATATCACTTCATAAACTCAAGTGAGTTTGCTTCACTGTCTGAATTCTCTGTATAAATGGTACAGATTGTAGAGAAATTATGTGAATGACTAAACACTATTTGCCGCAAGTTTTAGTATCTTGATAGAGAAATGAGTTCTGTGAATCGTGCAACGAGCAACAACAAACTAGAAATGCTTTGATTTTTTTTTTTTTTTTTTTTTTTTTTTTTTTTTTTGGTGCACAGGTGCATAGTGGCAAGAAAATTGGGATAAACATTTTTATTATTTTTTTATTTTTCTATTAGACAAAAGTTAATTTTTTTTCTGGTTATTGGACTTTTTATTTATTTGAAATCATATCTACTTTAGTTATCAGGCTTTTGTCTTTTTACGGAATGTTGGCCATTTTATAGTTTAGTTGCTCGTTGATTTCTTGATTTTTTTACCAGTTCTTGAATATTATATGCTTGTTAAACAATGCTTCCAATGTCTCATGCATTCTAGTGAAAAGTATGTGTTTGATGGTCCAACTTAATTAAATATTGATCTTGTAATTGAACATATATTCCACCATTACAGTGTCTACTAATTCTTATTAGTTTTATGAAAATATAAACCGATTGATGTGTTGTCCTGTTTATTGCATATTTATGCATGATATTTTCTCATCCTATTTTTGTCATTTACATGTATATCCATGGTGGAGTCTTCCACTTGTGCTTGAGCTTGTCAAAAGGTGGAATCTAATTGAAATGTTTGGTTCAAGTATTTAGTAATTTGTTAAAGCTTTTGGAGAGACTTGAATTAAATTTAATTTTATGACGCAATGTCTTATGAATGTTCTTTTTTTTTTTTTTTTTTTTTAAAATGATGGATTTAAGTTTGTGCATGGTTCTAGAAGCCGCCCAAGCTTGTGATTAATGTTGGAGTATGGTTTGATATTTTTTTTGTTGAGAGTCTAATGATCTACTTATTGTTCTTGTGTGAAGATTGGTTTTACTAGTTTAGAAGTAGATTATTGTTTTTTATTTCATTTAGTGTAGTGTCTGTTTATCTCATTGATTCTCTTCTCTGTCAACTCTTTGTTAAATTGACTCTAAAAAATTATTCTTAGAGTCCTTATGCGACTTTTTTGGTAAATTTTATGTTGTTCTTGTGATGATGAATCTAGGGAAACATTTTTCTACAAGCTCAATTTCGTTTATGGTTTCTCGTGTCTAGGGTTATTTTAAAGCGGCAAGGTCCTGATATTTATTTAATCATATATTTTATTCCTTTGAAAAAATATCTGGCCTTACTAGAAACAGTGGTGGTATTTTTCTTCTGTATGGATTCAAATGTTTCTGGTTGTGATTATTTACATATACTATTGGAGAAAATAGTTCAGTGTGCATCTTTGTTTTTGTTTTTTTTAAATGTTTATTAGATTTAGGTTATTGATGATGAAGGGAATGCTTAAATTATAAACTGGTGGGTAGGACATGGTACCAAATTGGGTTTTTTAATAAACCTTCTGGAAGAAGACGTTGAGACCTTAGGAGCCATAAGTTTTGTAATTCCATTTCTCTCAGGTTCTCCTTATCCTTAGTGAGAAAACAATGTGGAGTAGAAGTTTGAGTGGAATGATCAAATACATTGCAAAAGGGGATATAAATTCAAGAGAATTATGGAGAAGATGGATGTCCAGTGAGCCAAAAAAGAGGTTTGCGGCTTTGTGGGGGAATGGAGATTACGGAGGATTAGGTTTAGGGAGCTTGGAGTCTCAGTGGAGGCCTGTCCCTGTCGTTTGCTGTGCCTTTGAGAATCAATGCGTTAAAGCCATTGCTTGTGGTGGCACCCATACCTTCCTCTTAACTGTTATTGTCTTTCTAACTTCAATTACTTAATATTTATCAGTTTTCAGCTCATAAATTAATAATCCTCCTCTTCACAGATAATGGTCGCGTTTATGCTACTGGTCTTAATGATTTTGGACAGCTCGGCATATCAGAAAATATAAGTTATTCTTTGGTATTATATTTTTTAACTCATTTTTTTTTTTCCCCATGAATTGAGAGTGCTCTATGTTTGGACTGCTGATTCTAGATTGTTCACTTACTTACTCATTCTTAATTTATCTTTATTTAACTGGTTTGTACACATCTCAACTGGTTATTATCACTCAGCAGCCATTACAGGTGAGAGAACTTCTGATGTTCAAAGTAAATAATGTGGTAAATGCTAGAAATAATTTAATTCTTTATGTTCCTAATTTTCACATTTAAGGCTTCTTGGACAAAGATTACACAGTCAATAATTCTAAGCGTATTTTGAGACTACGACATATCAGGTATCTCTAAAAACCTTGATTGTCATGAGAGGGCTTCCATGAGAATGGATTGAGATAACACTTGGTACTAAATCTAAAGCCAAGTGCGATCCACATTCTCACATTAATCAATTGATATTATAGTTTCACATGAAGGATACTATGAGGTAAATTTTATAAAAAATTGGTATCTATATGTGAAATGTCAATATGCCAGAGTTTTATCATTGGAAAGCTCGATGTTGTATTGTAGTGCCATGATGCATACTAAATATGAAATGTTTTGAACAACTTCTTCCTCATTATAAGTTGGTATGTTACATGATAAACTAATAAGAGCACTTTTAGGCGTCTTGATTATGAGTAAATGAACTTCTACTGTGCATGTGGAGTCAAAGATTGGTCCAGTGATTTTCTTTTTTATGTGTTAGGTACTGGACAATTTTTTTATGTAACTAAGTTAGGCATGACAGAAATATATGTTACCTATTGGAGAGAAATAATAAGATTCAAAATAGATTATATTGTTGTCAGTGTGATTTAAGAGTATCTCGGTAAGTCTATTTATATTAGTGAATTTACAAGGAGGCTATTGTAAATTTGGCAGCATAAACTTCATTTTTTCTATATCTCTCTCCTATAATATGCATCCTCAAGGGGAGCCTAGTCTAGATAGCTTAATTAAAGTATATACAATATCTTGTTAATTGGTATGTTGAAGTTCTACTTCTATAATTTGTCACACATGTACCGGTTGATTTGTAACATTTTGGAATGAGTATGTGGATAACACCAGTAAAACTTGAGTGATGTGATAGCAAGATTAGTCAACAAATTCTTTTATTCATGTATTGTGTATGACTAGTATTTTGTTCGGATACAAATAAAGAATCCTTTTTTTTAATCTACTTCTGAGTTTTCTTGTTTATTTTTGCAATTTCTTCTCTCTGTAGCTTTTTTCTTCTTGAGTTGGAAATTTATTCTAAAATTTATAGAATGTGAACTTTTAATTCAACTAAAATTTCAAGTATGTTCACATGCATTGGTCGTTAGGTTCGGTATTGCACAACCAATTTGTATATACTTGAAATTTTAGTTATGTCCAAGAATCATAACTTGGCCACAAGTGGTGGAAATTGTGGTCCTGGAGATATTGAGGTGATCATTATTATTCTATGGGGGAGAAACTTCCTCATTTGACTCTGTCTTTTTTTGTTTTTTTCTTTGCCCAACTCTGACAAGGATTTTTTATTTAACAAATTTTCTTTCTTGGGACTGATACCTTTTTGGTCTAAGTCAATGCGGATTCAGCATCCCAATATTGATTTTTGGTTTCTTCATTTTGGAATTCTCACTCGATCCAAGGCGGTCGTATGTTTGTTTTTAGAAGAAAGCTTAAAGGGCTGAAAGCATTCTTTAATGATTGAAACTTGAATCACTTTGGTAATGTTGAGACAACAATGATTTGCTTTATTTCCTATTCCTTTTGATCCATGTTTTGGTTTTCACTGCCTGCAATTTTTCATGCTCAAGACTCTATTACCTTCTTAGCTCTACGTCAATGATTTAGCACCCTGGTTTGATGTTTGATTTCTTCATTTTGTAGTTCTCAATCAATCCATGGCTTTCCAATGTTTGTTTTTACAAAAAAGTGTATGGGCTCAAAAGGTTTTCCTTGATGATTGGCACTTGAATAATATTGGTTATACTAAAAAAGGCAATGAATATTATTGGTTATACTTCCAGATTTTCTATTATTTCAAATCCATGTTTTGCTTTCTATTACTGCCAGCTATTTTTCGTTATCAAGACTCTTACCTTTTAGTCTAAGTTAGTGGATTCGACACCTGATTTTGATTTGTTGTTTCTCATTTCAAAATTCTCGCTTGAACCATGGCTATCTAGTGTAGCTTAAAGGGCTCGAAGCTATCCTTAATGATTGGAACATGAATTATTTTGGTAATGTTCAGAAAGAAATGAATTGCCATGTTGTTACTTCTATCGTTTCTATTATTTCAGATGCATGTTTTGTTTTGTCGTAAAACTGCTCAGTTAAAAAGAAAGTTTCTATATATATTTTTTTTTTGATTAAGTGTCTGCTTTTGGTGACTATGTAGGATCAATTTTTAGGTATTTTGTTAATTTTAAATCCGTTGAATCTTTGTTGTCGCTTCCGTGAAGGAGGGAATGTGGATATACAACAATGTCATGGTGATAGAAATGTAGGAAATAGTAAATAGTTTATATTTTGAATTTGTGTTATTTTTCTAATGTTGACTAATTTACTGTTTAGATCTTTCATGCTAACCCTCGTAGAACGTCATACGATATCTAGTTGAGAATTTTGCTGCATCTATTGAAGATCATGTTTGTTATAGCTTTCATGAAATAGGCGATGCAGATAAATAGCACAATGTCAAGGTGGTATTAAATCTAGAACTGATGATGCGCCTCTTTAAGTGAGTGGAATATAGACAATATCATCTTGTTATTTCTCCTGTAGGCATCTAGGCTATGAGATAGCTCATTTGAAGTTTTTTACCGAATTTGCTAATAAGGATAATAGTGAGAGTTACCTGAAAAAGCAAGATTGGTTTAAAAGTGCCATTGCTCCAACTTCAGTATGGTGGGAAAAAAATTGTGCTATAGGTTTTTTTATTTTTTGCATTTTCAATTTTTGTACCCTCGGCTGCTTTCTTACAATTTCTACTTTCGAATTTAAGTGTTCGCATTCATATTTTCATTCTTCAATTTTTTTTTCTTTTTTAATAATGTGTGAATTCTTTGTATAAAGAACATATTGTAGAGATTCTGTGAATGACTAAACATTGCGGGCCTCAAGTTTCAACATCTTCATGGGGAAACGAGTTGCAGTGAATTGTACAAGCAACAACAATCTAGTAATTTACTCTAATTTTCTTCTTTTTGTGTGCATAGGTGCATAGTGTCAAGAAAACTAGGATAAAGCATTTTTCTCAACCTTTTGACTTCTTCATTAGACTTAGGTTTAATGTCTTTTTTTGGTTATTGGACTCCTCTTTGAATTTTGATTCTGTAGACTATCTTCTTGTTATTTCTCTTGTAGGCATCTAGGCAATGAGATAGCTCATTTGAAGTTTTCTACTGAATTTTGTACTAAGGATAATAGTGAGAGTTGCCTGAAAAAGCTAGATTGGTTTAAAAGTGCCATTGCTCCAACTTCAATATGGTGGGAAAAAAAGTGGGCTATGGGTTTTTTAATTCTTTGCATTTTCAATTTTTGTATCCTCGACTGTTTTCTTACAATTTCTACTTTGGAATTTAAGTGTTCGCAATCATATTTTTGTTCTTCAACTTTATTTTTTGTAATAATTTGTGAAATCTTTGTACAAAGGACAGATTGTAGAGATTCTGTGAATGACTAAACTCTATGTGCCTCAAGTTCCAACATCTTAATGGGGAAACGAGTTGCAGTGAATTGTAGAAGCAACAGCAACCTAGTAAGTTACTCTGATTTTCTTTGTTTTGTGTGCACAGGTGCATAGTGGCAAGAAAACTAGGATAAAGCATTTTTCTCACTTTTTTGACTTATTTGTTAGACTTAGGTTTAATGTCTTTTTTTTAGTTATTGGACTCTTTTTTGTTTTTCTTTGTTGATTCTGTAGACATTATTAGAATCATATCAACTTTTGGTTATGAAGTCTTTTGTATCTTTGAGCTGTAATCGAAGGCCATTTCATAAGTTTATTTGCTAGCTGATTTCATGATTTTTAATCAGTTCTTGAAATTACTGTATGTTTATTGAAGGATGCTTCTAATGTCCTCCTTCATACATTTGAGTGAAAAGTATTTGTTTATGATGGTCCAACCTTTAATCAAACATTTATCTTGTAAATGTACATATATCATTCTTGCCATTGTAATGGTACAAGAATAGGATGTCTTCCAAGGTCTTCTTTGTTCTTTTCTGAAAAATATCACACCCTATCGATCATGTTATTTTCTTTTGCTGTTGTTATATTTTGCATATGTATGTCGTGATATTTTCTCGTCCTATTTTTGTCATTTTTTGTTTTAGTATCCAAATGTGGAGTCTTGCACTTGGACTTGAGCATGTTAGAAAGGTGGGGCTTTTATTGAGATGCTTTGTTCAAGCATTTAGCAATTTGTTAAAGTTTTGGGACAGTGTAACTCTAGAATTTAGTTTTAATTTTATGATGCCTTATGAATTGTTCTTTTTTTTTTATTATTTTTTTAATGGATTTAAGTTTATATGATGTTATCAAGTTAGAGATCTGGATATCAAGGTTAGCTAGTGGTTAATGTTGGAGTATGGTTCGATATATGGGTTGTGGAGAGTTGCATAATTATTGGGTATGAGTTCTAAGTCTAATGTACTCGTTGTTGTGTGAAGATCGGTTTTATTAGTTTACATTCCAAAAAGATGATTGGTAGTAGGGTAGATCAGCTAGGTAGAATACAAACTTGTCAAAGGCAGTGGCGGGTTCAGGAATGGGATTTCCCTCAGGCGGGAATTTTCGGTGAGCTAACTAACCTTTTCTTTTATTTATCATTAACATTCTTTTAACTCATTGCTATGTAACAATACATCGAAGCATCCATTTATGATTGGACGAAATCGAGAATTTCATCCTCATTATCATGTTAAACTTGTCAAAGGCAGTGGCGTGTTAAGGAAATTAGACCTTGGAATTTTCGGTGAACTAATGAACTTTTTCCTTTATTCATCATTAACATTCTTTTAACTCATTCACATGTAACAATACATCGAAGCATCCATTTATGATTTCTCAAAATTAAAAATTCATCCTTATTATCATGTTAACTGCACAACTATATATAAAGTGTTATGATAATAGCATCCTTTTTTCATTGAATGTAATCTTTGTTTGTCTCAAATTTCTTTTTCTGTTCTAACTCTAGAAAATCATTATTATGGAGTCCTTTTGCGACTTTTATGGTTTGTTGTCAAGATGATGATCTGGGCAATCGATTTTTTCTATAATTGAACAGAATATAATCAATGAGGACTACTTTTTAATTCTAGAAACTTAAAAGGTTTACAATGTGAATGCAATTATTATAGACTAGGCTTCTGTTTATAAAGTTATGTGACGCCCCGCTATCAATTAAAACCATAACCTCTTTGCCCTTAATTTTCCCACTCAACTTCATGGTTTTAGGTCCATTGATCCCAACTACCAAACTAATCAACAACTCAGCCTCTTTGGGTACCTCTTCTTCCATTATTTCTTTTTCATTCGTTACCTCTTCCTCCCTGTTTTCCTCTTCATCAATCAACAATACCTGGAATTGCTTTTCCCTGCATTTATGCCCTGGTAAGTATTTTGCATCACATTGATAACACAAGCCTCGTTCTCTTTTCCTCTGTATCTCGATCACAGTCAATTTCTTAAATGGAAACTCTCAGCAGAATGTGCTGGTTCTGCTACTTTTTGAAGCCGTTGACCTTGAGCTACCGTAGCTTTTAGATGGAATTCTTCGGTTGGGAGTTATATTTTGGGAGAAGGTGTAGGTTTGGTTATCAGATCTGGGTGAGTTGTATGGGTTATTTGAAGAGTGGGCTTTCAAACTTTCATCATATCTAAATGAATTAGAAATAGATTTAGGCCCAGAAGTTACCTATTCGGCCCAAGCCTGCACGAGCTTCTTCTAGCGCAATATTCCTCTCTTCTATGCATTGGGCCAGCAAGGTCACCTGGTTAATGAATTGGGTCGGGTTAACAAATCGGGTTGCTGCAACTTTATCTCTGCCCAGATCTCTGGTTTTAACCCGTTTAGAAAAGTTGTTTTATGGACGTCTTTTCTCTCCCCCAGTGTTAGCGTTGCAACCTCCTCAAATCGTCAGCGAAAATTTAGCATCGATCCTCCTTGCCTTATCGACATCAACAGCTTTAAGGGGCTAGCCTTTTGTATCCTACTAAACCTCTGTAGTAGCGCGACCTTGAACATTGGCCATGTCATCGCCGTCGTCCTCAACTTTGTCCACTGGTACAAGTGGAATGCTTCTCTTTCCATGTGAAGACTGTCGATAAAACCTTGTGCTCATCGGGATTTGATTTATCTAGAAGTAACGCTCCACTCGGGAGATCCACCCATAAGGGTCTTCATCGAAAAAGAGGGGCAGCTCTAGTTTCTGATCACCCAAGTCACGACAATTCCACCCTGGCCTGCCTGGGTACAATCCTTCTCCACCCTGGTGTTAGTAAACGGTCTCATATACGCAGCGGAAACAAAAACAAATATAATATAGAGATCGTTTACATGAGCCAAGATCAAGGGTATAATTTTATAATTCATATTAAAATAAAATCTGCAGGAAAAATAAATCTGATTTTAAAGAAAACAAACGCACGTTGGAGGCTCCTCCAAATTTGTCAACGAATGTTTTGCTATCGATCCAAGTGTAGGATCGAACCCACGTAGTCCACACGAAGACAATCTCAAAAAGAACCAAAGAGGGATTTGCTAGATCCTCTTTGGCTTCAAGATTAAGAAGAAAGCAAATCAATTGAATTGATTTTTGGCCAAAAGGTGTTGCTGGCGTGGGAGAGAAAGAGAGGGGCTGTGTGTGTTTTAATTTCAAAAGAAATCAATTCCTTTAATTCTTTAAAACAATTAACACACACTTTTCCTTCTATAGTTAATCAAGTTGCCCTAATCCCATATGGAATAGGCTTGGGCTCCAACCCAAACGCCCCATGTTGCCAAACACTCCCAATTTGATATTTTTATTTTATTTTCCATCATTATCTCAATTAAAATCAATTAATATATATTTAAATATATATTAACATTTAACAATAATGATAATATATTTAAATATGTGCGAACACACATTTAAACGTAATTTCACTTATTTAATTTTTCTAACAAATTAAATAAAGGCTACGACCTCAGCAAATTTAATTGCACTGTGAAATTACCAAAATACCCTTTCGCCTTAAAAGACGAAAACGCCCTTCTTTCTTCTTGGATCTTAAATTGTCTTCTATGTGTGTGACCCATATGCTCCTCATCATATCCAGTGTATAGTATCGCGATAACACCAGTTAATCGCTCACTAATACACAGACCAGATTGGCCCCTAGCAAGGCATCATGCCACCCGATAGATTCAGATCGCAAAGTAGCTACTTGTCAACGATATGTTAGAGCCTCCAACCCACGCCAAATTGGTGCAAAAACACCAATTTGGCGTGGGTTGGTACTCCAACCAGCGTCAAACACTGCGCCATTTTGGCGCAATGCTACAGTGCCGCGCCAAATTTGGCGCGGCACTGTAGCACTGCACCAAAATGGCGCGGCACTGTCACAATAAAAAATATTTTTTTTATTTGTTTTTTTTTTTTTTTTTTTTTTTATTTTGTTAGTTAATTTGAGTATTAATTTAACCCCAAAAATCACACCAAATTTGAGTATTTGTATTTAATTTAATTTGATTATTATTTATAATAATAAATTTATAATAATGATATAATTTAAAAAATGATGAAAAATTAAAAATAGAACTTTATTCAATGCAAATATTAAACTACAATAACTCAAAATAAAAATTAACACTAATTTAAAAACACTAAAATTAAAAGAAAATACAACATAAACTAAAATAACAATTTAGTATTCCGGTAGATTAGTTTCGGATCCAGTAAGATCATCAAAATATTAAAAAAAACTTGAATAGACAACACATCTTTTTTTTTTTTGTATCATTTTATATTAGATGTAATGTTTTTCTATATTAAATGTAATGTTTATTTGATTAAATAAATGCTTAATTCTATTAAATTAGTATAATTTTCAAAATAATTATTATTTAATAAAAATATCATTCCCAATATTTAATTAATATATACAAAAATAATGAGTGAAATAGATTAATTGTTGATTATTACAATAAAGGAAAAAAAAAGAATATTCTAAAGAATATTCTAAGGAATATTCTTTTTGGTGCAATATTTGGTGTTGTGGGTTGGAGATGGAATAGTGTTTTGCACCAAATTTTGCACCAATTTGGTGCAATTTTGCACCAAATTGGTGCAATGGGTTGGAGATGGTCTTACCGTGCAATTCGATCCTTTCATCATACGTTATCTCGACGAGACGAAGGCATAGAAATAGTGTCAACCTTCGGTTACTCTTGATATTATGTATTCAGTTTCTGGACCAATGACCTGTATTATAAATTGGATAGAGCAACAACTCAATCCTACTATGGCCACAGTTTTAACGTCATTGCCATATACTAAATTACGCCGTGAGATAACTTCTCCCATACCCGGGAGTGATGAATCCTCTGTCAATCCACCATAGTCTTGATATACTCCTCAATGCAGCCAATCACCACTGTATTGATAGCTCTAAAAAGAACTGCGTTAGACTAGTGTCAAACTGTACCAATCAGTGCACAAGGCACTTTGGTGATCTCAAGTCTAAGGATCACATACACCA